TAGTAAGTTAGTTAAGTTAGTACTATATATATATATATATATATATATATATATATATACAGCATCTTTCGCTGCTCCCTTTTGCTCTTCTATGTACACAAAGGTTTTTGACTCCTGTGTTATCTTATTTTATGATCCTTTCATATTCTTCATCGCAAATGACTGTTTCATTTGCCTAACTGGGACTTCAGAGTTGTTTTTTCATGCATTATCACTTTATCCCTTCAAACCTGTGGCCTCCTGTTTTTGTATCACCTTTCCCTTGAGGTATATTTCTATTGTTGTTAGCTTCCAGATGCAGTTATTTGCCATCCCTGTTCAGCCGACTCTCTATCCTTCGACCTATTTTTTGCTCTATCCAGACAGATCCTTCCTATTGAACAGCATTGCTGCCAGAGAAGGGAATAAATTCTTTTTTCCTATTCTTTTTCCAGGCATTTCTCATCTTTACAATCTATCATATTCAGATCTTTTGTGTCCAGTCAGAGCACTTAGATGTTCTGTGGCTTGTATGGAACTGTTCAATGGTCCTATGCACCAGCTTTTTATTTTGTGGGATCCTGCAGTGTCCCTGGATTTATTACCCATTACATTAACCAGGGGGCTTTGGGAGTTGATTTCTGTAGTCTATTCGGGGTTATCTGTTGTAGATCGAAATATTACTACACACCACTTTTCACCAGATACGGCATCTATCAATGTCATTGTCTGCTCGTCTGAACTGTTCTCTGGGGAATATTTTGCAGGCCGGTATGTGGACTTCACCCAACACTTTTCTGTCTCATTACCTTCATGATTTGGAAGTTTCCTCTTCTATGGGATTTTTGCCTCCTCCCACCCCCATGACTGTATTGACTACCTCTGCTAGATTTTTAACAAGGAGGTGTGTAACTTTCTTACCTGATTAACAGTTTTTCTTCTAGGGTCCCCTCTTTATTTCCTTTGGATCCCACTCAGTAACGAGTGTTGCCCAGTCAGATGTACTTGAATTTTTTTTTTATTCCGCACTAGTATCCTATATATTGGTTCCTGGTTTCAACAGGTCCTGTCGAGATGAGGTGTTCCATAAGACCATCTAGATGCAATTCTGGATGGTAGTATTATCTCACAATACAAATCCAATGGACTGCTACTCATGGACTATCATGAGTAAAGCTAAAAGGGATTTTGCCAGCCCCTGCTGGTCTTCGAGCTGAATCAATCGAGATCAGTTTGCTGTTAAAAATTAGGGAACGTGGTTTACCTGTTGCACTGTCTCTGGAGACCTGTTTCTCAGAACTCCCCACTACACCCCCCCCCTCTTACTGCTAATAATGGAGCTAGGGAGTCCTTACCACATCCAGTTCCCAGTCGCTCCAATCTTGGAGAAGAGGGCAAAGTTGGGGTCCCTTCTACCTTGGTCTTTGGAAGTTTTTACCAGATGTTGGTAGGAGCAGAACCAACCTATGAGGGAGTCTACTTGTAAAACTACCCCAGATTTGATGCTTAGCTATCCGGTGGGGGTGTGCTTGGATCCTCTTATGAACACTGTCAGGTCTTAGGTTGTTCATGCAGGGGTCCACTATCTCCTCGTAAATCTGAACACAACGAGGTCTTATCTTTGGCCCTTGGTGGAACAGTATTTCACATCCTCTCCATAATTCCATGGGTAAGTGGAATTCTCCTTGCCCACTTGGTTGGGGAGTGAAAAGACTGTTCATAAATCCAGACCAGATGAGTTCTGGATCATTGGTGGAGTATGGTATATATGATCCCATCAATCCAAGCCTGTGATATTGCCTTTTGGACTTCTTCAGGTTGATCAGAAGGATTGTCCATTTTGATATTGCCTTCTTTCTTTTATATATGTGGTTGTTTGAAATGTATCATTCTGTGGCCGCTTATCAGTATCCTATCAGAAAGATATATATATATATATATTTGCACTCCAACTATGACCCCTTAAATCCAGACCCGAGCCGTGGAACCTTGGTTGCATGGTTGGGGCTGGCCCATCATACTTATTTTTCAATTTTCTGTAGTTCTGGGTGTAGAGCATACCTATTATGTATGTAGTGTGGTTTTTCCCTGTTTGGGTACCACTTCTCATGTTACACTTTTGTTTTATGCAGATGCTTTCTGTTTGAACTTTGTCCTCACCAGCCCCTCCACCTACTCAATGTAGGATTCTAGCTATAAGTGTCAGCAGAGGTATATATATGTTTTGAAAGTTATCATTTACCTTATCTGAAAATGTATTTCCAAACATACCTCTGCTGACACTCTCTCTCCCCACTAAGAGCTGGTGTTAGTGACCAGAATGGGGTAAGTCTCAAAAAGTGATTATATTGTCAATGTACAGTGCTTATGTACAGTACCTGTATATAGGGTATGTGAGGGCCAGTGTAAAGTTTTGCAAGTTAGATATTGCTGAGGGCAGTCGAGTGGGGAATAAAGACTGGAGCAAGTGAACACGATGTTTAGATGGCAAAGATGAAGATCGAGAAATAGCTATAAGTGTCAGAGGAGGTAAATATGTTTGGAAATACATTTTCAGATTAGGAAAATGATAACTTCATATTATTCAAGTAATCGAAATATTACCATTAGGATTTTTCATCATAGGTTAATTCAAGTTTGTTCAGCTTAATCAATTAATATCACTACTCATAAAATTAATCAACTAATCAAAAATTCACGTTTCTGATTATCATTGTTTTTGATTATTCCAGTTATGCAAGTTTTGTGTGAGAATAATTGATTAGTTGAAGGTAATCAGTTAATAAGCCTGATGATTAATTGATTATTAAATTCTACTAACTGCCCAGCTTTAAGCTGCCAGATTGTATGCTAATATATTCCCAGATAAGTATCATCCTTCACATCGCGTGATAGGAAACATGTCGGCGGCTATGTACTACAGGTTCATTTACGAATAGACTGTGCAGGCTAACCAAAAACAGATATTGAGAGTGAAGTTTCTAATGCTTGAGCATCAGTTTAAACACAGCTTGTGATTCTTTGCTACCATTTCATAATACTGTTTGGAAGTTTACCTCATTTGCATTTAAGCCAAAACAGACTTTTTTTTTTGAAGCAAGTTTGGTATTTTTTTTGGTTTAAAATGTTTCATTTCTTATAGTCTTCACCATTACAGTCGATGTTATTGATGTACCAAGTCTGAAGGACATGAACTTTAAGTTGATCTTGAATGACCACAGTGGATAGGCCCCACAATACCTTATTTTGTACTACTAATAATGATTTACATAACTATTGTCATTTTTACATTATATGTCTGTTAGAAGTGTTCTGAATCACCTAGTATGTGTGTGTATGTCTGAATATTTATTTTTTATAAAATCTGTTTTACTACCATAGATACCTTTGTACGGTGCAAAGTATATTTTTTGGCCTTAAGGAAAAATCAGTATGCCCACGTATAGTGTGCAGAGCAATTCTAAGAGCCGATCAGCTTTTGTGTGGTGAATTGTGTCTTATTGTGTTGATTAGTAATTGTACATACCTGTGTGAGGGAACACCACTGCCAACTAATTAACCATGTTACGTAAGGAGCAAACAATGGCTGAACTTATGATCACCTATAATTTGTGTATATGTATTTTTAAACAATGCCCCATACATAAAGTGTAGGAAAGTGACTAACTGAATGTTACTGTGAATGTATTGTATCGTAGAATGATAGTAAAATAACCTTACAACCCAATGCGAAAAACTCTCAAAGATCAAAAAAATCTTTGCCAGATTATATTTTGACGGATCATTATTAGCAAATACGGGCACGTAAACCATGCAGTTATTGTGGTTGATAAAATGAACCCGTTATACATGTATGACTTGAAGTCTAAAAAGTAAATATAAATATCAGGAGTTTGTGTCTATTCCTCTTCATTGTTTTTTACTTTTGGAGATCTGACATTAACAAACGATGATTGCATCAGAATATAAGATGTGTTGAGGCAACATTCGGAGTGAAAATTTCACTTCAAAAAAATACTAGAAGAATACTGCCCTCGTCTAGTGAGCTTTTCATATTTGAGCCCAAAACTTTTGGAAAAAAAAAGTGTTCACTATATGTGGGTATTTATGGTAATCATCCAGGCTTTGTGTTTACATAATTGATTTGTGTAGTCTTATCATAAATGAATTATACACAAACACACATTTCTATTTGTTTCAGTGTAAGTAAGGTGTAGTTTCTGATTTCTTTCCTTCAGTTTCAGTTGCACTCTCATTTTTTATTGCATTACTCAGTGGATTTATTGTGGAGGTATCTTATCATAGTCTTATATATTTGCATAGATCATTCTTATATAAATTTGTGACCATTCTGTTTAAAACTATACAGATACATTTGACAGATACAAATACTTAAACTTTTTTTTGTCTTTTACTTCTCAGGAAACATTTTCAAACATGGAAAATGATAGATGAAGACATGGTTTTATTGAAGTTTCTTCTTTGTGTGGTTTGACATTCTGTTGCACTAATCACTGTTGGTGGGTTTGTATTTGCAATAATGGCATCTAGCTGTTTTGATTTAAGTGGTGGTGGATCGGGAGTGATCTTATCAAAAGAGGATGCCCTGCAATTGTGGAGGGGCCATAGACGGACCAAGAGTGCTGGTAGTAATACCTCAAGAGACTTGTCTTTGTATACTAGCATGGGTTTATATAGTCACCATGGTGAAGGAACCATGCATGTCACAGAAACAGCAGCCAGTGAGCTGTCCCACATGACTGATACTACTTGTAATAGTGCCTACGAGTTTGTGAAAGTTACAGATAAGGCTGAGAGGGAACACAGAGGTTAGTATTTGGTGTCATAATTCATGATAAATACTGTTTGTACAGTATTTTATTGGTTACAGAGAAAATAATGAGTTACATCAAAATTTAAAGTTGATAAATAGTCAGTAAGGTTTCATACTAAATAAATGTAAAAAATTCATTTTGATCTTGCTTTTTTTTTACTGTACGTTCGTTGTTTAAATATTTGTATCAGTTATACAACTACAATTATCAGATGAAAGTTGCTTTTGTAGAAGTGAATTCTGGAACATGGCTGAAATTAGCAAGTACATTAAGCAAGAAATTGTATTGAAATATCTCTGTGATATGGTAGTTTTATTGGAGACAGCACTGTGTAAAACTACAATTATTAGATAAACTTGCTTTTGTAGAAGTGAATTCTGGAACATGGCTGAAATTAGCAAGTACATTAAGCAAGAAATTGTATTGAAATATCTCTGTGATATGGTAGTTTTATTGGAGACAGCACTGTGTAAAACTACAATTATTAGATAAACTTGCTTTTGTAGAAGTGAATTCTGGAACATGGCTGAAATTAGCAAGTACATTAAGCCAGAAATTGTATTGAAATATCTCTGTGATATGGTAGTTTTATTGGAGACAGCACTGTGTAAAACAGTCATTGTCTAGGTACATCTACTAGATAGTTATGTGGGTTTATCTTTTTGTACGTAAACATGTTAAATAAATATAAAAATATAATTAGGCGAATCCTAACTTTAAAAACATTTTATAACTTTTAATGTTTTAAGTAAAATAGCAATAGTTTTTTTAATTATACACATTTTTCTTTGTCAGTATTATTTAATGCTATATTTTTTAACCCATAGAAACAGAGGAACCACATGAACGAGAGTGTGGCCTATTAAATATCCGTCCATTATGTCTTCAGCGATTTGCCAGGATTCGCGTGTTTGTTTTTCTTGCTTGTATTTTGGTCACCTTACAACAAGCATTATCCTCAGGCTATTTCAACAGGTAAATTTTTTACCTTTTAAGTGGGTCAATGTACAGTGACCACTATCTTTTACTACTTCTACACATAAACGTTGTATCTTTTATTACTTCTACACATAAACGTTGTATCTTTCATTACTTCTACACATAAACATTGTATATTTTATTACTTCTACACATAAACATTGTATCTTTTATTACTTCTACCCATAAACATTGTAACTTTCATTACTTCTACACATAAATGTTGTATCTTTTATTACTTCTACACATAAATGTTGTATCTTTTATTACTTCTACACATAAACATTGTATCTTTTATTACTTCTACACATAAACATTGTATCTTTTATTACTTCTACACATAAACATTGTATCTTTTATTACTTCTACACA